GCTTGAAGGGACGGACCTGCGAGGTAGAGAATAAAGAGTGAGATAGAGAAAGTAAGGGGCAGGTAGGAGGGAGCGACTCTTTCAAACGAGAAGACTCTGGCAGCAGTGCGAGTGCAAAAAAGACGGTGCATGTGACGCCAACCACAACCCCACAAGAGCCGCTACCAACCTGCACCTGAACCTGAACCTGAGGGGGAGTGGGCTCGAGTGGAGTGTGGTGGCAGGGGCGATACTGCAACCTCAACCGTTGATGAGGCCGGCGCTGCTGCCCCGCTGCCCGCGCTCCTGCTGCCCGCCCTGGTGCTCCCCTCGCCTGCTGCTCGCCTGCTGCCGTTCCCCTGGCTTGTGAAGGCGGGAAGGGATGGGAGGGAGGGCAGGGCGGAAAGGAAAGGCAGCCGAAAGTAAGAGGGGTTGCAATGGAGAAAAGTGTCAAACACACGTGCAACAGCAGAAACGACAGTGCATGTGACGCCAACCACAACCCCACAAGAGCCGCTACCAACCTGAACCTGCACCTGCACCTGAACCTGAACCTGAGGGGGAGTGGGCTCAAGTGGAGTGTGGTGGCAGGGGCGATACTGCAACCTCAACCGTTGATGACGCCAACGCTGCTGCCCTGCTTCCCGCGCTCCTGCTGCCCGCCTTGGTGCTCTACTCGCCTGCTGCTCGCCTGCTGCCCTCCCTCTGGCTTGTGAAGGCCTGGCAGGGAAGGGAGGGGAGGGGAGGGAGGGCGGAAAGGAAAGGCAGCCGAAAGTAAGAGGGGTTGCAATGGAGAAAAGTGTCAAACACACGTGCAACAGCAGAAACGAAAGTGGATGTGATGCCAACCACAACCCCACAAGAGCCGCTACCAACCTGAACCTGCACCTGAACCTGCACCTGAACCTGCACCTGCACCTGAACCTGAACCTGAACCTGAACCTGAGGGGGAGTGGGCTCAAGTGGAGTGTGGTGGCAGGGGCGATACTGCAACCTCGGCCGTTGATGAGGCCGGTGCTGCTGCCCCGCTGCCCGCGCTCCTGCTGCCCGCCCTGGTGCTCCCCTCGCCTGCTGCTCGCCTGCTGCCCTCCCCTTGGCTTGCGCTCGCCTGGCAAGGAAGGGATGGGAGCACGGGGAGGGGAGGGAGGGGAGGGGGGGCAGGGCCGTGAGGAATGAGGTGAAGGCGGCGGGGGAGGTGGGAGCGAGAGTGAGATGGGGAATGGGCAGTGCAGCGTGCGAGACGGAAGGAACAACAGGCAAGGCAAGGGAGGGGCCACTGGTGGAGGCACATCTACAAGCCACAGACCCCCAGGGGAACCTGAGGGGGCTGTAAGGCTTTAGGGGGGCTGAACCTGTACCTGATGGGCTTACCTGCAATTGGGGAATGAGGGTCTGTTGCTTGTGAGGCGGACTCCAACCAGTGGTGAAAATTTCAGGGAGAAAGGACACAAGGGGCGAGTGAACGAAAGGAGCAGAGAGCAGCAACAGTGGGCAGCAAGCGAGGGAGATTGGAGGGAGGAGAAGGCACTTAGCTGGCGGTTGAAGAAGCAGCGAGAGCTGATGCTGCTGCCGCTGCTGCTGCTCACCCCCACGCCAAGGCAGGGACAGCCATGTGACCAAATCGCCAAGCCATGAATGGCGGGCGACGATTTCGCCAAACGACGACGCGCTGTTAACGATTTCGCGGTGCGACGACATGCGGAGGACTGTTTCGGTGCGACGACCCGCGGCAACGATTCCGCCGTGCGACGACGCGCGGCCAACGTTTTCGACACGCGAACGACGATCTCGCTATGCGACGACACGCGGACGATTCCGATCATGCTGCTCCGATATCGTTGTCAGTCGTTTCTGAACGCAGGCAGAGCAGCAATAACGGAGATGATGTTTTCGAAAGTCACACTAACGAGGTATCAAATGCATCGAATGCAACTCAGAGGCAGGCAGAGAGAAAATGTGAGGAGTCGTAGGGATGAAATTTCCATTTCGAGCAAGTCGTACCGAAGCATTCGTAGAACAGTGAGCGGAAATCGCGGGAGCACGCGCGACGAGGCAACGACGGCCTGAGGATGAGAAGCGCGGCACGACGGCACGCGTTCGGTAGCGCAGGTGCATCTGGCGTGGGCGAGACAGAAAAAGTGTAATCGGGAAATGAGCATCTGAGAGGTTCGAACGCGAAATGAGAAGCCTGATAGAATGACCCACGAGAAAATGACGCTAGCCGAGAAGTATCACCGAACCGGAAGACTAACCTTGTCGGATAACTATCCGGATATCATTGCTTCATCTCCGTATCGACAGCACGGAGAAGTCGCAACGCCGCCAGAAACCGCTCCCAAGAAAAACGCGGTTAGCGAGAGAGTACTAGAGAAGCAGTCGACAGGGGAAGCTAACCGTTGCGAGAACGATAAACAGTTGTAGCCAGCGACAACGAAGCTAGTGGCTATGGATAGTCCTGAGGAAGAAGAAAATGTCGTTGTAGCTAAGTGGAGTGGTAAGATGAGACGGAACGAAGAGGAATGCAGACGAGGTTTGGAGACGCGAGAACGAGGAGCGGAAAGAATCGGAGAATGGTGGCGATTGGCGCACGGAACGAGTTGTGCCCAGGTTGCCCAAGTTGGGAATTCATCAAAACATAAGATGGCTATGTTGCGCGCGGTTGAGATGGTCGCAAAGTGGTTGGATTCTGTTGTGTGCCTGAATGCTCAGTTTACGCTGCGCCATTACAGGGATAGTTCAGCACAGCCCAGAGTAATCCCGACCAATCCCGAGGTGGGCCAAGCGGCGGAGGGAGAAGCACCGCCCACGAGATTCGCCCACGAATTTCCGCGAGCGCGCATGATTTTCAACAAACGGCCAAGTGACGAAAAGCGTGTGCGACAAGGTGAAATAGCATATGCGACGAATTGATTGATTCGTTTGTGCGTACCAAACCATCATCTGCTCGGACAATAGACTTTTGCGAAATTCGTGGTTGTCGCCAAGAACGTCGAGCGTAACGGTCCCGGCAAGGATAGCGCGGGCTTGTGAATGAGCTCCCCCAAAAGCCTGACACACCTCGGAAAAGGCGCAGATTCGGGAGTTTTGCGGAGCGCATCCCCAGAAGGCGGGGCTGCTGCTCCAACGGGATGCCTGCGGACGGCGCAACTTGGGGAAATTTGAGGAACAGCATCGAATCCGAACAGACGAACTAACCAACCAAAGCGTGTTCAGATCACCCCCTAGTGGAACGATCTACACCTACTTTTGAATATTCTTTGATATGACGGAAACATAAATAATCAGCTAATCTGACGATATTGTTCACAAGACATCTGCGACAATAAGCGAATGTATGTTTGCTTATCTAACTGAATTATTTACTTTATAAATAGCTTTAAAAAACGTTCCTGTTATGCATATGAATGGTTGATCCAGTTCCACGTCGTAACACCGTTTTTACGCTTAAGATGTGGAATGCTAGCGCACAATACGACTTAAGCATTCACATTGTAGAGGAGGGGACATGACGTTTTTGTTTCCCTCGTGCCTAAGGGGACATGAGGCCAGAAGTGTTGTGGCGACTTGGCGTCGCACGCGCTTGAGGCGAAAAATGGCTTGCGCTGTGACATCCCATTCCAATCCCCCTTTCCCCCTTACCTTCAAATGCAGCCACTAGCCTTGAGAGCAAGCGCGCAACTGTGGTCTCACCAACCTCCATATACAACTGGTGCAGGCACACCAACTGATCGCAACAGACGGGGGCTACATGAACGGGCGAATCTTCATTTCCCGAGCACAGAAACCAAACACATGCTAGTTCCACTCCGTAAGATGGTCGGGTTAGGAGCCTATCATAGCATAGGCTACACACTTTTTTATGTAAGTCTTGGTGACCTTACGCTGTCATTACCTCATAAATAGGAGGTCGAGCAATACTGGAACGAAGTCTGGATGACTCGCTTCCACCCGTGAATTTCGACCTGTAAATCGGCAACGGGTTCGCGGTGACAAGGACAAATGAAAACGATCTGGGGGAACTTTTCCTCTCACCCTCCAGGGACACTGGAACAAGTGCTGAAACGACAGCCGAATGTTTGGGGACAAATTCTGTTCTTTGCTTGCAGTACAAAATATTGGGGACACTCATCTGGACGAACCCAAAGTAGGATGGTCTATGGCTGACTGGTCCAAGACAACACGGCGTCCACGCCCTTTTCTCACGTTTGGCTGGAAGGTGGTTACGCAAGATGCTGCGTGGCGCCTCTTTATAAAGACCAGTAGATTGTACTGACATCAAGGAAGGAACTGTACATGGGTCGGAAGTTGTGTGACACAAACATTTCGCGGACGGGCCCGAGAAGAGCAAACCTTTTCAGGGAGCAGCCTTGTCGGTTTGCAACCGCGGAAGAACCAACATTTGCATTCAATCAACGAACTCGAGGGACCACTTGATCGCTAGGTGGGACTGGGAGAGACCACAAACAGCGCTGTCTTGTACGGTTACTAATGGAAAAACCGAACAATGCGTTGTGTACGGGCACTGCTAGCAGTCGTTGAACCGCAACTGGAGCTGTACACTGTCCTGCTTGCAAACGTGCGCTGTCGTGCCATGGTTCTGCTCGCTCGCGTCGCGACGCAACGGAATTGCTGAAACGAGTTTGTGATGTGTTACTAACCACCATAGAATCCTGCTTGATGGGTCCGTTTGAATGATCGTGTCTCTTTTCTATTCTCCGACCTTTAGGGCAATAGTATAATTCCATCTGCGACATCTGAAGCGGGGTCGGAGCAATCGGCTCAGCGAGATTAGCCGAGAAATGCGAGTTTTTCACCATCACGCCAAACAACCAGCAGAGTTTCGTGCGAAGCTCAAGTCACTAGCTGTGAAGCCCAATCGACTGCTCATTCCACATCATGAAGCACTAGACAGCGTTGCTAGCCGTCTGAGACTACCCTATTACGGATAGCGCTTCTCCAGGTGCGCGCAGTGTCTGCGCGCGTCCGCCTCTGCCTCCGCCTCCCGCTCACAGCATTGTAGCATGGACCTGGTGCGGAAATTCAAGCGGCGATTGCGCAGCATTGGCGGCGCGAGTGGAATCACCGCGACAGCCGGTGCGAGGGGGAGTTCCGCGGAATGCGCGGGTGACTGGCCGTCTGGCGTCATCAGCAAGTCCTTCTCCGTTGAATGCGGCGCTCCTCACGCTGGTCCAAACCCGTTGCTAGGAGCAACTAACTCACATACTCGTCCAGTTCCAAAGATTCACAGCAGCAATGCTACCAGTGATAGCCGTCTACAGGGGAAGGAGCTCCAGCTCGAAGCTTCTGGCGTGACTATATCGGAAGAGGAGGACCGGCGGCAACGGTCGTCAAGGCCGCCGAGGCAAACGCAGCGCGCGGTATCGCAGCAGCAACGGGACGCTGGGGCAGGAAAAACAGGCCAGCGTTGCCGCGCCGACGAATGCGCCGGCGACGCCGGCGAATCTGGCGCGGATCACTCGCGGGAATCGAGGAGCGACGCGGAAGACTGCGGGTCGGACGAGATCAAGGGTGATGATCTGCAGCGGCGGCACACGTGGCAAGTTCAGTCGCAGCGTCACCCGTCCGACATCGCCGCTGCAGCCTTGCCAGAGTCCGCGAAAGCTTTCGCACACAATCGCCATTCTAATGGTAACCGTAACGACGATTTTTCTTATGAGTTCGAGCAATCCGCGAGTTTCACGGCGTTGGGGTCTCTGCCAGCGAGCGGTGCAGCGGCCCTGCCGCCGCGTCTCACGGAAGCGCAGCTGCTGCTGATACAGGCGGCGCAGCATGCAAGCAGCAGCGGGATGGCGATCGACTGGGCACGTCAGCAGCAGCAGCAGCACCGGAAAGTGACCGAGTGGCTCGGAACGCTGTCGGACCCAGTCGAGCCTCTCACCGAAACCCCGTTCGCGAGCGCGGAACTTCCGCACGAAACGAGTGATTCTAAAGCGAGTCACGAGGCCGCCGCGGCCTCGCTTGCGGGTCGCGTGCCTCGCGTCGCCTCATGCGTTTCGCCTTCTGATTCCGACGGGCGCGCCGCGTCGCTCAACCCGCCGGCCGACGGAGACATGCTGGCGACGGTCAACCGGCAACTAAAGCTGGAATGCGCCGGCAGTCCGTCTGGAACGCCGAGTCCCGGGGTACCAAGCCCGCGCGGCGTGATAATGCGGGGCAGCGGTGGCACGGGGAGCAGCGGGGACGGGGAAGAGGCGGAAAACGATCGGCGGAAAGCGAACGGGCGGAGAGATTGCGAAGCTATCAAGGCGGAAGCGAGGGATGATTGGGTCCCAGGTTGCGAGCGGACGGCGCGGCGAGATTGCAAGGGGAGCTGCAGCGACGGGGACGGCAGCGAGTGTGGCGGCGATCTCGAGGGCGGTTCGCCCAGCGGAAAGTGGGGAGCAGACGACGCCGTTTGCAAATCAAAGCAGCCGGGAGCGATCGACAACGCGTCGCTAACAAGCGTGCGCGTCGCGTATAATCAGCTCGTGGCGACCCGCCAGTCGGAGCAGGTGCGCGGGGCGAAGGCGCTGCGGGACCTGGCGCGGGAGAGCGACGCGGTGCGGAGCTCAATTGTGGCCGTCGGCGCAATCCCCGCGCTCGTCTCGATCGTGAATCTCGCCGCATCTGCTCCTCACGCTGCCGCCACCCGCGACACCACCGTCGCTTCGCTTATGGTAGACAGTGGCGGCTGCGCGACGCCAACTGGCGCGTCGCTCAGCGGTAAGCTCGGTTCCGCTTCCCGCGAGGAAAGCGGAATTGAATCGGCGACGCAGGGAGGCCGCGAGCGCGCCTTGACTGGCCCGTTAGTAGACTACTCGATATCGTGTCTGGTGAATCTGAGCATCACTCGCGATATGAAGGCCACGATCTGCCAGGCCGGCGCCGTCCCCCCGCTCATCCGCCTCATGTGCTCCTCGCGCTCGCCCTCGTGCGCGCCCGCGTGCGCGTGCTGCGCGCCCACGTCCGCGTCCACGCGCGCGAACGCGGCTGTGGCGCTGCTGTCGCTGTCAAAGCTGAGCGACGCTACGAGACTGCACATGGCCTACTCGGGTGGCGTCGAGGCTCTCCTCCACTTCCTCTCTGATTCTCTTTCTGACGCCCCTGATTGCCCTGCTGCCGCTGCTGGCACTGCTGGTGCTCCTGCTGCTGGTGGGATGCAGGGCAGTGGCAGCAGCAAGAGCGGCAAGGGGCGGAGGGAGGCGGCAGCAGCGCTTCAGAGCCTGGCGTCTGTCCCAGCAGTGCGGCCACGGCTGGTGCACGCAGGAGCCGTGCCGCTGCTGCTGGAGCTGGTCGGCCATGCCGCAACCTCCCACCTCACATGCAGCAGCAGCAGATCGCGCGGTGCAGAGAGGAGGACGCAGAGGACAAGCCGCACGGAGGACGATGCAGTGGCTACTGCCGAACGGGCACTGGCAGTGCTGGCGTTGCTGGCAGAGAGCGAGGAGGGCAGGGCGGAGGTGCAGCGCCGAGGGGGGATGGAGGTGCTCGTGGGGGTGGTGCGCGCAGGCGGGCCCTCAGGGACGTGTGTGGAGCGGGCTATAGCAGGGCTGACGGCCATGGTGGGGGGAAGCCTGGCTTGCAGATGGGAGGTGGCTAAGATTGGAATGGATGGGGCAGTAAAGGAAGTGGCTATTCATGGAAGCGGGAAAGCCAAGGTTAAGGTGAGTAGTGACGGAGGACCCACTGCTACTTCTGTCGCCATTTTAATTCCCTTTCCTTTCCCTTGCTTCTTTGTCTTTCCTTTCTTTTCCTTTCTCAGTAGTAAGATTCTGCTGTTGGTAGCCTACCGGTACTCACCTCAGAACTTGCTTGCCTATGCCTTTTTATCATGTCTTGCCCTTCCGTTCACCCACAATGGCAGGCAATAAAGTTTATGGACATGCTTCGAGCACCTCCTGCGCTAGGATGAAAGTGACATCATACGGCCTCCAACTCGCTTCATAAAATGCTAATCTCCATGTGTTGATATTAGTTTCTTTGTAAAGTTTTTCTTACCATCAGTTTAGATGGGTTGTTTGTTTTTTGGTGGGCTGCATTTCTGTTTTTTAGCTGTTGCGTGTCTTATGGTAAGGGTTTTTTTTGTTGTACAAATAAGTCCTTTTTATATTCAACACGTGCCAAATGACTGCCCAACTAATCTATGTGATGCTGTGTGCGGATGTACCATGAAAGAGGAAAGCCCAAACCCAGAGACCTACACATGTCGCCAGAGGAATAATCAAAGCTTTGAATTTTGACTACACCACATTCACTCTTTTCAAACAATGTCAACTGTTATCATGATATCTCCAATCGAAGCATCTCCTAGCGAGATATCCTAGGTGTTGAATCCAGCCAGATTCGCTCTGCCCGATGAAGGCGGAAAATTGAGTGGGTCCCGTTCCATCTGCGCGTCCTCGTGCGCTTCCGCATTTCCCCCTTTCCCTCCCGCGTCCCTAACCTGCCCTTCCGCCCCACCCTTTCCTCCCCCATCCCACATCCCCGCAGCCAGACCCGCCCCCTCCCATCCCATCACTCTTCAAACCCTCTGACGTCACGAATCCTCCATGCCCTAATCTCGCACCCAAGGCGCTTCGGCCAGCCAGCTATGCCGTCGTTGCCGTCTCGCACTTAGCTCTAGGAATCAAGATGCTTGCTGCCACGCCTCACCTTTCCGTAGGCCCATTTTTGGCGCGGATCTGGTAACCAGATCGCGGTTGCGATCCGCACGTTCAGTTTACCCTACCATGTCGTAAACTCGATCAGACAGCTGACGAGAGCCATGCCTCCGAGTAAGAAGAAAGTTATCTACGACGTGAAGGAAGGGGATCTCGTGCTCGCCAAAGTCAAGGGATTCCAGCCCTGGCCCGCTAAGGTCTCGCTCGCTCGCTCAATCGCTCTCTCGCTCTCTCGCGTTCCTTCCTCGCCTCTCCGCTGGTCTTCTCTTTGTCTTAGTATCTCCGAGCAGAACCTGCGCATCGTTTCTTTCGTATCTTAACGAGCTTGCGAATCGTACGGTCGCTGTAACAGTCGGAGCACAATAGTGATTGATGCGTCCCCTCCGAAGGGACTTCACGCCTCAATTCTCGCGCGCCTCTCTCGCGCGCCTGTCTTGTGCCAGATCGTTCCTTTCCGATAGCGTTTTACTGCGCAAGCTCCCCGTCCGTTTCGCGCGCTACGGTCAGATTCTGATGGCTGTCGACGTCGCAGAGCCACGCGGCTTGGCATGAACGAATCTCGTAACACCTAGAATGCTCATGGGGGATCGTTAGGACCTGACGACGTTAGGAGCGTATCCGTTGCTGCCTGACGCTTGTGCCGGTGGATCCCGGTCGGCCCGTCAGTTTCGGCCAATCAGCGCCTCTCCCCACCCTCTGCTTCTCTCATACGTCGTACTCACTCTCGAATCCTCCACCCTACGTCACTCTCCCTCTCACCTGTCCCACAGGTCATAAGCGCAGAGGAAGCACAGAAAGCTGATGTGAAATTGAAATTTAAGCCAAACAAGGTCTATGTAACCTTCTTCCCATCCGGGCAATAGTGAGTCTCTCCACCCTTCCAGCTAGTCCTAGGAACTCGTATGTCGCTCGTAGAAGGGCATGTGGGATGCACGTACGACCAGAACTCCTTTTCCTCCTTGCTGAATTCTCCACTTGCCAGTTGAGCCACTCGTCCTTTCCCCCCCTGAATGGCAAGACCAATCACCCCAGAGTCTCGTATCTAACCATCCCCCTCCCGCTTCCTCCTCTCCCCGCTATCCCCCGCTCCACTCCCCTCTCCCCTCCTCGCCGTATGTTTCCGACCCCACCTGCGCAGCCGCGCGTGCAATCCCGCGGATGTCACCCCCTTTTCCGCGGAGCTGCGCGAGCAGCTGACTGCGCCGACCGCCAGGCGCGTATCGGCGGACTTCTCGATGGGACTGGCAATGATGTGCGAGCTGCAGGATAGGAAGAAAGAAGCGCAGATGGCGGGGGAGCAGGGGGGCGCGGCGGGGCCGGCGCAGGCGGTGGGGGAGAGGTCGGGGGGCGCGGAAGACGCCGCAGCTGCTGCACAGGTGGGTCAAGAAGGGCTTCAAGCGTGTCAGGCTTCCAGCGGGTTGTTTTCCTTGTGATTTGGTCTCCAGCTATCTGCTTGCAACCATAGCCCTCCCCTCCTTCCCGCCCGCCCTTCCTCTCCCCCACCCCTCTCCCGTGCTTGTCCTTGGTGCTGCAGCAGCCAGACCAGGCCGCTGCTGCAACCGCAGACTCCGCTGATCCTAGAGCGCAGCCCGAGCATGCAGGAGACGCAGCTGCCGCCGCTGCAGGTGCCCCGGGGTTAGCCCACGCTGGTCCAGGCAGTGAGGCGAGCCAAGATACTGGGACAGGCGGGAAGGATGAGGATGCGGCAGGGGGACTGGGGAGCGCTGCAGCAGTAGCTACCCAGCCCTTGGAAAACGGCGGAGCGGGAAGGTCACCAACAGAGTCGATACTGGAAAACGGGGAGCGGGAGAGGCGGAGTGGGGAGGATGGGGAGGGGTTGGGGGTGCGAGGAGCGGACGCTGGGGGGGGAATTGTGAAGGATTTTCACGTTGTGGGGCCGGATATTCTCAACTCCGCGTGGCGGAAGCGGAAACGGTTGGAAGAGCTGGGGGATGTGGGCGCGGCGGAGAAGAGGAGAGATGCGGGGGGAGATGGGGGGGCGGGGGTTGGGGCGAGCGAGGGGGAAGCGGGGGAGGGTGGGGATGGGCGTGAGGGCCTGGCGGCGAGTGGTATAGAAGCTGTTTTGAACGGTGGTAGGAGAGTGGCGGTTGGAGGGAAGGATGGGGAGGATGGGGACGGGGGTATTGAGGACGGTGGTGTGGCGATGGCTGAGGAGAAGAAAAGCGGAGGAGGAGGAGGAGTAAAAGTGAGCGAGAACGCGATAAAAGGAGGAGACTTTGTGGGACCTGACGGCGTTGCGACGGAGGTGGGAGAGCAGAAAGAAGCGGGGGGAGCTTTTTCAGAAGTTGGTTCGAAGGCGGATGGGGAAACGCGCGAGAAGGAGGAGGGGAAGCGTGAGGTTGAGGTGAAGGAGGGTGGAGAAGGGGCTGTAAGCGCTAAACATGAAGCATGTGTTGCTGAATGTCAAGCAAGCGGAGGTGAGAGCGTTCCAGCGCGAGTGGAAGGAGATGCAAGTCGGGCCGTGGCAGGGGATGGTCAGACGGACGTGGTTGCAGGAAGTACGGAAAAGCAATCCGCTGCAGCGACGGTAGTCGAAGTGAAAGTGTTCACAGATGGAAGCGGAGGAGGCGAGAGTGCTGGTGGGGAGCTGGTGCAGGTGGTGGCGGTTCAAGAGATTGTAGAAAGTCACGCGGAGGCCGAAGGGAAGGCAGAGGAGGGGGCAAAAGCGGAGGAGATGAGTGGGAAGGATGGTGGGGAGAAGGAGGATGCGAGGGGGAGGGATGGGAGGGCGAGGCTGGAGCAGCGGCCTGCGATTGAGATACTGAGAGCGGTGAGAGTGCAGGGCGTGGGCGGGTGGGTGAAAACCCCTGCACCTGCCTCTGCTGCTGCTGCTGCTGCTGCTGGCGCTGCTGCTGCTGGTGTTGCTGGTGCTGGCGGTGCTGCTGCTGCTGGTGTTTCTGGTGCTGGCGGTGCTGCTGGTGCTGACGGTGCAGCGTTTTCCCGTGAGTCTGGTCAAGGGGAGGTGAGGCAGACGCGGTCGAGTGCAGGGAGGGCAAAAGAGCAGGAGAGGGAAGGGCGGGGAGAGGGAGTGAAGAGTGGCGTGCAGGCATTGTTGCAGGGAGGGCAGAAGGGAGGGGCGGGGGAGAGGAGAGCACTGAAAGGGCTTGAGGTGCTTCAGAGGGCGCAAGGCGCGCAGGCCAGAGAGGGGGAGAGGGCGGAGGGTGGTTCTGGGCGAGGGGTTGGGAAGGAGAGAGAGGGCAAGGGAGAAGAGAAAGGCAGCGGGGGGGAGAAGGAGAGTGAGGAGAAAGTAGGAGTGGAGGGGGCGAGGGAGAAAGGTTTGAGGGGACAAGGGGAGAAGGAACAAGGGGTGAGGGAGCTTGGGGTGAGGGAACAAGGGGGAAGAGAACAAGGGGTGAGGGAACAAGGAGCGAGAGAAGGCAGGAGAGGCGTGGACAAGTTGAGGGAAGGCGAAAAGAGACCTCTGTCTAGGGAGAAAGAGCTGAGAGATGCAAGAATGGAACGGGGGAGGAAGGAGCTGGAGAAAGAGGGGGTGGTGATGAGGCGACCTGGGCAGGTGGGAGGCAGGGGCAAGGCAGAAGCGAGGGGGGACGTGGGAGGGCGGCAGGTGGGTGGTCCTGGTGGGCAAGCGGGAAAGAGTCCCGTGGGTGAGTCGCTTGTGGGCTTGAAAAGGAAGGCGCGGTGGGATGGTGGTGGGACAGACGCTGCTGAGGAGGGCAGAAAGCACGGTGGGAAAGGGCTGCTCCGGGGGCCTGGGACAGCGGCAGCAGGAACAGCAGCAGGAGGAGCAGGAGCAGGAACAGGGGACGGTTCTAAGGCAGCAGGAGGTGGTGCGAGTGGTGCTGTAGGCGCAGGTACCCAACGGCCCAGTCCCAGGGCGTGGAGAGGGCGTGACTCAGAGGAGATTTGGAAGGAGCTTGGACAGATGGGGCTGTTGGGCGAAGGGGACGAGGAAGAGGGAGCAGGCAGAGCGGTTCAAATGGGGATGAGTGTGGTGGCAGGAGGGGAGGCGGGAGAGGAGTATGTTAAGGTTCAACTGAGTGTGTGTGAGGGGGCGGTGCTTGGAGCAGGGGCCGTGAGGCGGGAGTTCGTGGGGGATTTGAGGGTGTATAAGAGGAGAAAAGTGAGTGGGAAGGGGTACAGTGCGGTGGAAGAGCAGCAAGGGGGCAAGGTGGTGGGAAGAGCGTTACCGTATTGGAGTAGGCGATATCAGCAGATGCTGCTAGAGAGAGGCACGATGCAGCTTCTGCCGTCTATTCAGAAAGCCCAGCGCAGGGAGCAGGAAGAGCAGCAGCAGGAGCAGCAGGGGAGGAACCAGAGGCGCGTGCAGAAGCAGCAGCAGCAGCAGCAGCAGGTGAGGGAGCAGGTGGAGAGGAAGGGGAGAGCGGCAGCACAGCAGCAGGCAGCGGGACCAGCCGCTGCTGCCGCTGCTGCCGTCGCCGCTGCTGCTGCTGCTTCTGCTGGTCCGTCATCCTCTCTTACCGATATTCTGCAGCAGCTGCAGCACACGTTAGAAGCTGAGAGGGGCCAGATGGACGAGCAGACGCGAGAAGCCGCCATGCGTGCCGCTGCTGCTGCCGCTGCGGCCGCTGCTGCTGCCGGTGCTGGTGGCGGGGGAATCGCATCTGCTGCTGCGTCGGCTTTAGCTGGCTCCTCTGGGTCGGGTACTGCAGGGGGATCCATGAATCTTGTGTCTCCCAGGGGGCTGAAAGCGACTGCAGGGGGAAAAGGCGCCTGGGGAAAGGGACCTGGGGAGATGGGTGGGGGTGGGGAGCAAGGAGCAGGGGTGAATGGCCCTGGGAAGAAACGAGGCAAGGATGGGGCTGAGGGGAGGGGCGATGCAGTGGTGGTGCGATCTAGGTTGCTGCGAGGGGGAACGGACGCTGGGGGTGGGGAGGCGGATGAAGGGGAGAGTGTGAGAGGTAAGGGGTTGAGTGGAGGGAAGAAAGGGGCGGGACAGGAGGGACGGGTGCAAGGGCTTGGTGGGTTTAAGAGTAGCAGTTTACGGAAGGGGGTGGGAGACGAGGGGGATGGGGGGGAAGCGGGTAAAGGTGTGAGAAAGAAGCTGGTTGGGAAGGGTTATGAAGGGGTGAAGGATGCCAGGGAGACAGGGAGTGGGGCAGGTGAGGAGGAAGGGGGGATTAGCACTCGGACTAGAAGAAAGGGGCTTGGGGGTGGTGATAGGGGCAGACAAGGTGCTGTGGAGGGGCGCGGGAAAGAGCAGGGTGAGGAAGAGAGCAAGGAGGAGGAGGGAGAGGATGATGAGAAGGAAGAGGAAGACGAGGACGGGGAGGAGGAGGATGATGAGGATGAGGAGGATGAAGAGGAGGAGGAGGAAGAGGAGGGGGATGCGTCGTCTGAAGATTCAGCTGGATCAGAAGTTGTGGAGGTGGGGGAGGAGGATCAGCAGGTGGAGGTAGCAGGGGGCAGGAGCAAGGTTGAGAGGCGAGGGGGAGTAGCACCTGGTGGTGTGAGAGATGCGGTGAGGGAGCGGGCAGGGCAGAGGGTGCATGGGCAGGGGGGAAGAGGGCCAGGGCCGTTGCATGCGGCAGGGAGGAGAGGAGTGGGGCCGTCAGCAGCAGCCGAGGCCCAGGGCCGGTTGTTGGAGCGCAAGGGGCTAAGGGAAGGAGACAGGTGTGTTCTTGCTGCTTGCTGTAACCGTTTCTCACTGCGTATTACCACTTGCCACTGCTTGTTACCACTTACCACTGCTTATTATCACTCGCCACTGCTTGTTACCGTTTGCCACTATTTGTTACCACTTGCTACTTGCGCTGTTAACAGACTGTTCGGCGCTTGCTGCTAACGTCTGAATCTTGCGTTCTGTGTTTCCCGTGCTCTCCCTGTCAGGCCGAAGCTGCAGGGTCCCCACGAGGGACCCGTCCCCTCTCGGCCATTCAGAGCGAGCTTTTCTAAGCCATCCGCCCCCAACCCCGCCGCCACTGCTCCTAAACCCTCCGCTCTTTCTGCCCTTACTCCGGGGCTTGGTTCAGCGGCTGTGCCTAGTACTGCTGCTGCCCTGCTAGCCTCCTCCCAGCCAAGCATGCGAGATCTTCTCAAAACCGCTGCCAATGCAAAGAAGGCTCTTCTCACCTCTGCCTCTGCCCCCTCTCTACTGCCGCCTCCCATCTTCCCTCCACCTATCTTTCCCCCTGGCGTTCCCCCCCCTCCGCCTGGCTTCGGCCCCTCACCAACCTCATTCGCCGCACCGCCACTCCCGTTCCCCGCGTCTCCTACTGCTGCAGACCCTTCCGGACCTTCGTCAGCCTCCGCTGCTGCTGCAGGTGGCTCTGCATCTCTTTTCCCTGCCATGCCCGCGGATGGCCCTGATAATGCAAGGGGGGAGCCTGCGGGGGGTTTTCCTCCTGGGTTCAGTATGGGCGGGGGTTCCCCCAGGCGAGTGGCAGATGCAGGACCGGCAGGGGACGGTTTGGGTGGGAGCGGTGGTGCTGCAGGGGTTGCTGGGGATGAGAAAGAGGGCGACGGGGCAGGTGGTGCGAGTGGGGAGGGGAGGGCACAGGAAGGGAGAGGGATGGTTGACGGGCAGGAGGGTGGGGTGAGTGGGCAGGAGGAGAAAGGTGGTTTGCCTGGGGATGGGGAGGATGGGGCAGAGGGGTGTAAGGCTGGTGGGGATAGTGCAGCAGGGGTAGGAGGTGTGGGGGATGTAAGAGACGGTGTGGCATGGGCGGGAGGGGCGGCAGACGAAGATGGGAAAGGGGAAGGGCCGGGGAGCAGTGGGAGAGGAGGGGGGGGCGGGAGGAGGGGGGAGTGCGGGAGCGGGGGCGGGTGGAGGAGGGAGTGGTGTGGGTGGGAGTGCATCAGGTGTGGGTGCAGGGAGTGAGCTAGAGTCTGCAGTGATGAGGGATACGTTTGGGGGCATGCTGGAAACGCTGTCTCGCACCAAGGAGAGCATTGGCCGCACCACACGGCACGCCTTGGCATGTGCATGCCTTGGGATTGCAGACCAGGTGCGACTCTGCCCTGCTGTTGTTGTGAACCCTTCCATTCTGTCCCCTCTGTAGCTCATTAATCATTCCTCCACTCCACCTAATCTCCTCCCGCCCCACTGTCCTTCTGCCCCTGACTTTCCCTTCCTTCAAGTATGTGCATGGCTGTGCACATAGTGTATTTATTCCCCTGATTTTTGGCCCATACGTGCTCGCGATTCTCAAATGAAAGTTCCGGGCATGAATGTAGTCCGTCCTGGTGTCAGTGAGGCTCCGTGCACTCATATTCCTCCTATGCCCATGCATCCGGCCTCATGTTTGTGCCTCCCTGCTTATTGAACTGGTGCATGCATGTGCGGGTGTGTGTGCGCTTGCATATGCATTAACGTCTGTGTGTTTGCGTCTTGCGTGCGCATGCGGGCGTGCGTGCATTCGATGTGCACATGGGTGCGCTTGTGCACATGGGTGCGCTTGTGCATGTGGATGTGTATGTACTTATGGGAGCAGGTGATGGAGATGGTGGTGTCACGGCTGGAGAACGAGATGAGCATGCACCGCAAGGTCGACCTCTTCTTCCTTGTCGACTCCATCACCCAGAGCTCGCACCTCAAAGGCAAGTCCGCACCCCGCACCTCTCTGCAAAGCCACGTGCACAGCTCAGCGCAAAAGCACATGGGAAGACAAGGGAAGGGCATATCTACATCGAACATACACGAGGTGTGCGTGCATCTGATTTCCCACATTTCAGATGGCAGCGCACAGCCTGTTTCAGCATTCACGCTCCTCCTCCCTCCCTCCTTCTCGAGCCTTCAATTTTGCCTCTCTCCCAGCTTCACTAAGCTTCCAGTCCAACCTCTTTCACATTTTTCCTCTTACACTTCCTTCCCCCCCATCTGGGCAATCTGGTAACCCTGTAACCGCACGGGTACCAGGTGGGCCTCCGGCAGTGTATCCGGAACTGGTGAAGGACGCCTTGCTACGCATCGTCACGGCTGCTGCCCCTGCCGGCCCTGCTGCTCACGAGAACCGCCGCCAGTGCATCAAGGTGCGCTGCTGCTGCCTCATACAATGCTGAACCATTGTCGGGGTGATGGATGGATGCTGGTCGGTTGACTGGTGGTGTTAGCGGATTCGTGCTGATGATTTGTTGTTGATGATAAGTTTCTGGTGGATGACGATGATTGGTATGATTCGTGGAAGGTTTGTTGTGCTGTATGGTAGGCATTGTGGGATCATGACTTCTCACCTGGAGCCAACCGAAACGGGAATCGCTTGTGGCTCATCTCCTACTCCTACTCTTCCTGCCTCGTCCATTTCCCCCTTCCCGCTCCTCCCCTTCTCACTCCACCCATACCTCCCCCTTCGCATGCAGGTCCTGCGTTTGTGGAAGCACAGGCAGGTGCTGGCAGAGGAGGTGCTAGCACACTACATAGACCAGATTGAAGCTCGCAACCGCGACCACCAGCTCTCAGGCCCGCCCGTCCCGCCCTCTTACCCATACCTCCCCCTTCGCATGCAGGTTCTGCGGCTGTGGAAGCACAGGCAGGTGCTGGCCGAGGAGGTGCTAGCACACTACATAGACCAGATTGAAGCTCGCAACCGCGACCACCCGCTCTCAAGCACACCTGTCCCGCCCTCGCACCTGCAAGGCCAAGCTACATCAAGAGGCGGAGCAGGGGAGAGGGAGCAGGAGGAGCAGGAGGCGAAGCCCCCAGGGCATTACGACCCGCAGCAGCAGCGGCATGGGGAGGAACCGGGGCAGGGGCAGGAGGGTGGGAGGAAAAGAGGGGTGGAGTTTAAAGTTCCGGCGTATGGGCAGGGGGGTGAGCAGCATGGAGTGGGGGGGCGAGGGGAAGGAGGGGCGCATGGGCAGGAGCAAGGGGCAGGGGGGCAGCAGTCACACCACCACGGGGGGTTCGTGGCTCCTCATAAGAG